CCCCCCCCCAACTCCCGCCACCGTAAAGTTATTCCGGACTCACCTGGAATGCGGTTGGTGCCGCACACTTGCAGCAGGAGTAGGACACCAAGTCCCCAGGGCAGCCCCATGGTGGAGGAGCTGGTGGTGCCCAGCCAGGTGCCTGGGCAGCAGGAAGCAGAGAGAGTCAGCGTCAGAAATGGCAGGGAGGCGGGGGCAGTCAACTGGGGGTGGGATCATGAAGGGCCAAAGGGACCAGGCTTTAAATACCAAAGATGGGGTGGGGGATCTCTCTCTGGCCCCACTGGCATGAGGCTTAGCAGAATTTACTTTTCGGAAGGAACCAGTTAGAAACCGGGAGAGAGAGGGCAATAGGGAACGGTGTTTGTTTGTTTTAAGTATGGGTGACAAGGGCCAACAACCAGAGGTCTTTTTCTCGGATAAAGCAAGGTCAAAAGAACGAGTTTGGGGAAGCCCCGAGGGCCCTGGAAAATCCGTCTTCCCTTCCGGAATGGTATCAAAGTTGGATGACTAGACGACATTCTTGGGGTGACCTACCAGAGGTGGGTGGTGAACCCCTAAGGCTGGAAAGGATGGCTCTGGAGTCCATCCCCCCCAAATAGCTCCCCAGGAGCCAGTAGGCAGAGGACGGGCAAAAGGAGAGAGAGAGAGAGAGAGAGAGAGAGAGAGAGAGAATGCGACCCCAGGGTCCCCGAAGGGCTCTGGGCTGAGCGGGGTGCGCTTACCTGTGAGGACGCGGAGCGGCGTCAGCAGCGGAGTGGGGCACCGGGCAGGGCTGCAGCCGGAGCGGGCAACGGGCAGGCGGCTGTGCGGAGGAAGCCGGCAGGAGACCGGTCTCAGCACCAGGCTGGGGTGCACTCACTGCCCTGGCAGCGGAGCGGCGCGCTTTTATGGAGGGTCTGCGCATTCCTGGGGATCCCTCTAGCCAATGGGCGGCTGCCGGGCAGGAAGCGGAGGGGGGCCAGTCTGGGTTCCTCTCCCCGCCCCCTTCCCCCCCTCCGCTCCCGACGCACCACTTTCCAGTTCGAAAGTGAAGAGGGGGAGGCGGGGGCGGGGGACGGGCAGCCTGGCGGCGACCTTTGGGGCGCACACCCACCTGGCACGCTGCTGCGAGCCCCTCGCGGGCCCCATGTGTCAAGTGTGACCATTCCGAGCAGTGACCGGGCTTGGGCGACCCCCTCCGGACCTGGACGGGGCCGGTCCACGCAATCCCGCTTCCAGGAATGCTTGGGGGGATTCCAGGGTCCGGGGTGGGCCTCCGTTGGTAAGCAACCCTAGTGGCGAATGTCCCCGCAGAGAAGCAGCGGTTAAAACCAGTGGCTAGTGGGTACTTGTGGTGACGCCTCCCCCGTCCAGGTGGGGTGCGGAGCCCACTTGCTCGGGCCGGGGCTTGTGGGCAGACTTTCTCCCCGCGTTTCTGCCCTTCGCCCGACCCACGAAAGCGGGTGAGTGCGGTGTCGCGCTGGGAGAGGAGGGACAGTGAACCCAGATTGCGGTCTGGCAGCACCAAGGCCCGCACTGTCCCTTCGAAACCGGGCTCGCGACGGCTGCTGCCATTCCACAGCCTGCCGCTTGGGGGCGGAATGCGAACTCTGATCGACGGAGGGGACCCGCGGGGACTGTCTTCTGAGTCCGGAATTTTAAGGAAATTTACTCGTACGTACCCACTTCCTTCAAGCCAAAAGTGAAATTATGTCTTTGAAAACAGTTTTTATGCCCACTCGTGCTTCTTAACGTGACTCCTGGTTGGAGTATTCGCAGGGCCGTCTGGCCCCAGAGTCTCGAACGATTTACAGAACAGACCCGTGGTGGAGTCGTAAATTACCCTCTGCCCATCATCATTGGATTGCTCCCCCGGCCTCGCTAAGCGTTCTTTTCATTTTTTCGGCTCCCGAAGCCGAGGTGTGGGTTACATTTCTGTGGGTGCACACATTGCCATGAGAGCTGTTGCCTAATGTTTCTGTCATTGGAGGTCTGGTCTGTAAGCCACTGTCCCAAGCCAGGATGACTCCAGCTGCCTGGAATCCCATTCATCCCTTTGGCTTGGGACGTCAGCGGTCCAGCTTCTCCTGTTGAAGTCCAATGCTGCTATCAGGCCGGCCCTGAGAAGGGGGCGAAGGTTTTAGCCTCACCAAATAAGGATCTAAGCCTCAGGCTGGGGTAACCCCTTGGGTGTCCCCCCCCCCCCTTCTTCATACTCATACTTGGCAGAAGTCAGAATTGCTGGAAACACCCATGAGCTTACATTCATCAAGCAGCAATTTCACTTTTCTTGTGTGGGAGTGTTGTGTGACAAGGTGCGTGTGCGTGAGCGTGTGTGTAAGAGGTGAGTGGTTTCCAGTAACTCCAGTATCTCAAGAAGATGACACGCCTGTTCCTAAGAGATATTTGTTTGTTGCTTAAATAACTCAGCTTGACAGCCAGAGAGATTTCAGATGTTGAGAGGCAGAAAGAAAGCTTTCGATCGGATGATTAGCCGTGGAAGGCCTAAGTCGTGATTCATCTGAGTCCGTTTGAAGATTTCAGAGTCAGCAGCCATACATGTAACCCACCCACCCCCTCTCTCCTCCTCCCCTACTTTCTAGAGTGCTCCTTGAAAGGTGATTTCCCCCGCCCCTGCCCCTTCACTCGAAATTAATTCTTCATGCTATCTGGCCCATAGGAGATCTTCTTGGGAGAATGGCCAGCTGCTGGCCCATGTGACAGTTTTAGAGAGATTAGCTGAGGCTTCTAGGTCCACAGAGGTCCACCAAGGCAGTAAGCCTCTGTCTTCTACTAGGCCCCTTCGCTGAGAGGATCCCTGGTGATGTAGTGGCTGTGCGTTGAGCTGTTCACAGCAAGGTTGGTGTTTCAAAACCACCAGGAGAAAGCCGAGCCTTCCTTCTCCTCTAAAGCGTTAGAGGGTCAGAAACCCTCAGAGGCAATTCCTCCTTGCCTTATAGGGCCACGCTGGATCCGACGCACTGCCAGCGAGTGAGGTTTAGCTGAAACAAACGTTTGCGACTGATACTATCGGAATGCCTTTCGGGTTTCTTACAACGTGGCTTCCTTCAAACAAAGGCAGGTGATTGTAACCTTCTCTGCGCATTACAAATAGAAGGACCACAGAGAGTGGTCAGGGAGAGAGCTTTCCTTTCAGAGGAGGTATGGCTACACTGTCCAGTTGACACTGACCCCTGGATATCCCAGGTATGTCAGAGGAGAACTCCCCACCATGAGGGTCTCCAAAGGCGAAATTTTTTGGGAAGTAGATCATTGGGCCTTTCTGCAGAGGTCCAGCTGAGTGAACCAACCTTTTGATTCGTGCTGGGGCCTGTTAATTGCTTGCATCACCCAGGGATCTGACAGAAGCAAAGGAATTGTTTTGAATTTCAAACGCAAAGTCCTCCTCTCGCTCATGGTTTTCCGGTTGTTCTAGTGGAAAGGAAGAATTCTGATGGAAAGGTCGTAAGGGAGAGTTTGGGCAGCTGTTAGGAACTCACCCACATTCCTGCTTGTCAAGGGTTGCCACAAATATTTGCCAGAAACCGTTGGGAAGCTTTAGGAGATGCAGGAATGAGAAGAGGGAGAACCAACCAACAAAAACTACCAACTTGCAGGAGGGAGGAAGTGTGTGTGTGTGTGTGTGTGTGTGTGTGTGTGTTCTCAACCTAGAAGTGCTGGGATTTCAGACCTATCAACTGGTATGACTCTATGTGGGCCCCCCAGGGAGAGGGCCCCGCCCTGTTGGCCACGTTGCTGTTCTTGACGATTACTTCTGGATTTGAAGCACATGTCCCCTCAAATCCTAAGCCATATGAAATTGTCACTCTAAGCTTTCCTTTGCATGTCTCCCAAATTGGAGGTGGGACTGGCCTAAATGCATTGCCAGTCAATGGGAAGAAAGATGCTACGCAGCAGTGTGAGAGTTAGTTGTTTTGTGCCAACGTGGCACCTGTTAGAAGATATGGGTGGAGTTTAGCCTGTCAATCAGGTCACTGCTTGATGACCTCATCTGGAGGTACCACTGAGGAAAATGGCTTTCTGGAGGTGGGCCTGTCTCTCTCTCTCTCTTTCTCTCTCTCTCTCTCCACCTTCCTGTTGATGCCACGTGGCGACTGCGAGCCCTGGAGATGCGTCCACCGCCATTGCAGTCACCGGCTGGTGATGTCCTGCATTCTGGATCCTCGCATGTGGCTGCTTGAGTCTGAAGAGGGACTTATGGACTATTATCTGACTTATGGACTTGGGTTGGACTGGGCTGGGATGTTTTATTGATGCATAATGACTTCTTGATAGAAAGCTCTCTCTTACACATATATGAGTGTCCCTGGATTTGTTCTTCTAGTCAACCCGGTCTAACACATCAGTAGCTAGTTTAAAAATTATGTACGGTTAAGTGCAGTATGAGACTTGAGAAAAAACATATATAAAAAAACCCAAAAAAACAAAACCAGGGAGGGCTGTGATTTTGTGCAGAGAGTTTAAAACATTGGTTGACATCTTCTGGTTTGGAGAATTTCATAGAAGCAAGCAGCTAAACAACAATAACAACTCTAGAATTTTACTCTAGAGTATTCTGAAATCATAGCAGCCGCAAAGTGCAGATATCTTGACTTCATCTCCTCTGACTATCTTTCCTCGTTTATGGCTCTAAGTTTATGGTTTACTTCAGCTATGTCAACAATCAGAGCCAGAGGAACTTGCCAACAAATGCTCTGTATTTTTCAGTCTAACACTGATTCGAACTCGCTTCCACTGGGAGGTGTTCTTCAGAGACTTTTATCTTGTTGCATCAATTCTCATTTCTATAAAATTGTGAAGCCTGTATTATCTCTGTCACATGACTTATACATTTAAAATCTTACACACAAAAAATCTGTCTTTGATTTCTTGTATTTTAGAGTCGGATTGCAAGTACTCACAAAAGCATGGGCCGGGGATAACTCTTAGACGAACCCCTTTATGCTCCGGCTAACTTGCAGCGCAGGGACAGGGCACTCTGCCTCCTTGCATGTGGCTGCGTGAGGCTGAAGAGGGACTTACGGACTAGTATCCGACGTATGGACTTGGGTTGGACTGGGCTGTTTCTCTCCAGCTGGGTGCCAGGCCGTGTGACTGTGCTGTCACTCTTGGGGTGCACCTGATCCTCAACTC